ATCATTCCCATGGTTTTACAGTAGAACTCATCATTATCAACAACCATAAGGGCCTCCATAATCTCAACTTCAAACCTCCCACTCTCCAAACACTGCCAAACAATCATTTCAAAATAACTGGCTTCTCAGGGAGTATGAAAAAGATGCATAGCTCCAAATACCACTTGTTAAAAATCACCCCATTCCCCTTCCCCTTCTTACTTCCGGTGGAAGCTTTAACATTTCTGTAGAGCAGCCGCTTACAGCCCAAGAGTAATCCTGCTTAGAAGAAGGCAGGGCATTAGGGGATTTGTTTTGAAGCTCTATTTGCATAACACTTTACACAATTCTTAGAGAACATCACTTTTCCATATCAAAGAATGCGCTTCATAGCGGAGACAGGCGTAGAGAGCTAAAATTTCTCAAGCCGCCTCCCGCTTCACACTGACTTTCTCAAGTCTTACCATAAACTCATTAGAGTTTATCAGACTCACCCAAAACAGTCCTTCCAAAACCTGTCTCACCAGCCATAGGCCTCATCGCTTTTCCTTCTGCTCTTTCCCATTGGAAATTGGGAGGGCAAAGCCAGACATTTTAAATAGGCAAGGATGGGAGGCTGGGAAGCACTGTGTGTGTGTGTGTGCTCGTGCGTGTGTTCGCGCGTGCGTGCTTGTGTGTGCGTACTTGTGTGCGTGTGTGCGTGTGCGCACGCGCCTGTGTGTGCTTGTGTATGTGCGTGCGTGTGCGTGTGCGTGTGTGTGGCGCTCACTCATAGGACTTTTCCTGTTGTCCCAGAGTTGCCAAAGGCGGAAACAAAAAGCATCAGGAGCTCCCACATCCTAACGAGAGGCTGCAACGAGCCAGCAGACACGTTCTCAGAGAGTACTAAGAGATGGCAGAACTGGCCCTATTTGGACTCTAACCGTTCCCTTCAACCACCCTTCTCCAGCCTCTGTAGCTACAGGAGAATGGGGAGGGGAGGGAGAGAAGTTGAGTGCTCCTAGGGAGGGGCTTTTCTTTTCTTGGGACAGAGTAGGAAGGGGTGGGGAAGGGAGTGCTGGGACTCCCCTGCTCTCCCAAGCCAAGAGTTGTATGTAGAAGGAAGACCTCTAAGAGGGTCGCTCCGGGAGAGTGGGAGGTCTGCATGAAGGCAAAGTTGGCATCCAATTTTACTGCCTGGGCTCTTGTGGAGCTGCACAGAACCGCAGGCCCACACTGGACCACCCTGGAGCCTTGGGAACTGTGGGCGAGCTTGACAAATATTCTTTGAGGGACGTGTTGTGTGTGAACCTGGAGTCTGGTGCCCCCTTGTGGTCTAGAGATATCTGAACGTGACCGGTTCAAAAGGTACTGAGGGGGCGGTGTGCCTGGAAAGCAAATGGGAGCATCACTCCCACCTTGATCCCGTGAGCCTACAGCTTCTGAATTTGGAAAGGCTCCACAGGAAGGAGTACAGGGCTTACTTAGAAAGCCGCTCTTCAAGTGGCCTCAGAGGAGTCCGAATCCAAGTGAAGTTCAACACCGTCGCCTCAGAAAAATGGACCAGCCCCGTGCTCAGAGACCCTTCACCTCACTCGGCAAATCAGAGCTTCACACCTGGAAAAGGACCATTTTCACAGGAAGATTTCTCTCTCCCTTCTCTCGTCCTCCCCCACCCCGCAGGGAATACGATGTTGAAATTGTAATTGGGACTGTCAGCTTTACCAACCAAGAGAGCCCAGCAAGTCATGAGGTCCACCCAAGGTGTCATTAAAGGATGGGAAAAGGGACTTGGTGATGCATGGTTGAAAGCAGTGATTGGGAAAAATAAAATGGTTTCACCTGTATAGTCCACCGCTGAGTTGAGACTCATCAATGCATCAGTTATACGTACCCAGGCACAAGGCATAGACTTTGGAAGCAGACAGAAAGGGAGCTGAAAAATTGTGCCACTTAATAGCTTTATTGCCTCAGGCAAGGCCTATCTGAGCCCGTTTCTTCACTTGCAAGTAAGGATAATCATACTAATGGACATTATGACTAGGTTATTAAAAGGATTAGAGGCAGCATATATAAATGAATAGAAGCTACTACTTATTGATGGATGTGTTGACACATAGAGGGGCTGTTCCCAGTTTCCCAAGACAAAAGACAAATAAAAAGAACTAGTAAAGTAGAAAGAAAAAATAAGAAGTGAGGAATGCTGAAGTGCTAACCATAAATGTAAACGCAGTGATTTGAGCTACAAATTTGGTTTTGAGTTTCCTGGCAGCTGAGGCACAAAGAGAAACCTCAAAACTTGCACAACTACAGTTATCAGAAAGGAGGAAGGATGCCTTCTCAGGAGAGACAAAGCTTTTCCTGGCTCCAAATTTCAAAAGCAACATCTCTGAAGTTTTTCTGCATTGGCTTGTAAATTACCTGAAACCTTGACTAATCTTTACCAAGTGGTTTCTAAAGCTTTAGAACTAGTGATGTAGTAATTGGGACTGGGACAAATTATTGAAGGTGAATGACCTAGATCTCTATACTCTGGATCACAATGGTATTCTGCGGCAATTACTCTCCTATAATTCTGTAAATTCTCTCAGTTGAGCTTTCCTTGCTACATTCATTGTGAGATTCTCACCCCTTAAACTCACCCCTTCTACCTCAAAGAAATGTTTTTATTTCCAACTCATGCAGAAGCTTCAGACTAAGGACAGATTTAAATAAAAGTATAGATATATTTTTAGATGAAATAGCTACATTCAAAAGGCTCTTCTCTTTCCCAGGTGTAATTTCGGCCTACGAAAGTCACACTGCTCTCCCTTCAAAGGCCATAGTCCCCTTTCCGGGGCATTAGCACATGAAGTAAACAGCCTTTGCAAAACAGTGCTACAGGTGAACTTTCCCACCCCAAATGCAGGGGCACCTCCACTAATCTGCATATGCTAACGTGGGTTTCCAGGGAAGCTGCCAAAAATAAGCTCTTGTCCTCCCTCACCTTTACTTTAATCCCCACATAGGTTTTGCTTTTACCATATGGTAATTATTTCCAAATCACAAGTGCAAACACTCACTCTGATTGGAAAATTAGCAGATTTCAAACTCAGGTAATTTGTCCCTAATGAGGAACTTGTTGAACTGAATTTAACAATTAACTCACACACCCTTTGCTGCCTGCAGCTATGGGAGTAAAGCAGGGAAGACAGAAGGGCAAGTCGAAGGCTGGGGCCTGGACTTCGAGTACAAGATAAAGGTTGGGATGGGGGGAAGGTGTGTTAATGGAGCTGTAGGAATATCAGGAACTTGACTATTCAAATGGACATAATATCTATGAATTCATATATAAGTGAATTTCAAACATATGCCGAAGTAGAATAGTATAATGAGTCTCCATATACCCATCAACTAGCTCCCACAAATATCAACTCATGGCTGATCAGGTTTCACTTCTGCAGGAGGAGCTAGAGACCCAGAAGATGCACAGGAAGGAGGTGCAAAAGGAAGAATAAAAGTGCGGTGCCGGCCGGGCACGGTGGCTCACACCTGTAATCCCAGCACTTTGGGAGGCCTAGGCGGGTGGATCACCTGAGGTCAGGAGTTCGAGACCAGCCTGGCCAACATGGTGAAACCCTGTCTCTACTAAAAATACAAAAATTAGCTGGGCGTGGTGGTGGGCACCTGTAATCCCAGCTACTAGGGAGACTGAGGCAGAAGAATCACTTGAACCCGGGAGGAGGAGGCTGCAGTGAGCTGAGATCACGCCACTGCTCTCCAGCCTGAGCGACAGAGCAAGACTTCATCTAAAAAAAAAAGTGCAGCACCTCTCCTCTCTCCCACTCCCTTAGGTTCCAAGCACTTTAGGGTAGATACGGGTTGGTGAGTTGACTGCTGGGAAAATGAGTGTCCTCCTGGTAGGTATTTTGCATATGGCTGTGCACAGCCTGGCAAAAGGCTGACCTTTTCCACCCTCCTTGCTCCATGGCTGGGGCCACTTGATCTTTAGCTGCAGACCCTGGCCCAGGTGACCATAGGCCATGAGGATTTCAAGAAGCTCCAGCCCACTACATGCATGAGCATCATAAATCTCACTCCACCTGTGTGCCCCAAACCCAGGTCATGCCTGATGCTCTGTCCCCATAATCTGCTTTGCTCCTGTCCCTCTAGAACTGCGCTGACCCACACAATAGCCACTATCCATACATGACTATTAAGCACTTGAAATGTGACTAGCGAGACTGAGGAACTAATTTTAAATTTTATGTACTTTTAATTAATTTAAATTTTAAAACTGGTACTTGATTCAATTATGGGAAAACTTCCAAGTATGTTTGGAAAGTGAATCTACATTTTCAACTGTAAGGTTTACAAAATCTAAATACAGATCAAATATTTGATGAAAATTTGATATATGAATTGAGAGTCTCTGGAGTTGGAAGCCTTATGTAAAATGTCTCATTGAGAATTTTAAAATATTGATAAGATAGGAATGATATTTGGGATATATTTGGTTAAATAGAAATTATTATTCAAAGTAATGTCTCATTTCTTTTTACTTTAAAAAATGTAACTACTAGAAAATTTAAAATTATATAGGGGTCTCATATTATGATTCTATTGGATAGCACTGCTCTAGGGCTAGGGTCCTCTCTTCACTTGCAATTATCCTCAAGGAATATAATCCTGTTCCCAAATTCCCACCCTGTGACAAAGGCTCAATTCTGCCTGACATGTCCCGTTGTGCTGGGCCTACCTGGATTTTCCTGGATGCTCATCTGCAGGCCTACCTTCTCTGCAAACTGTCAGAACATTCTAGGGACAACTGCTTTCACACAACCACTTCACCATCAACGTTCTGCTGTTAAGCCCTGAAGATGCAACCTACAGAGAACTAATTTTGAACTTGTCCTGGGATAGTATCTAGGTTCTCATGATACTAAAATAAATAAAGTTTACTCACAAAATGTAGCCAGCTAATGTCTTCAGAAGGTACCCTGTATCAAACTACCAAGTAGGTGGGGATAATTAGAAGGAAATCAACAAAGTTTGCCAAACAGTCATCTGAAACAAAGCTGAATTTATTTGCCTGACTGGGAAGAAAGAGCCACATCACTCAAGCACAAGTTTGGCTGGTAGCTCCATGTAGTACTTGAAAGGACCAGATAGACAACAAAGGAAGGAAGTAGACCAAATCTGATGATATTCTGAGTTCAGGTCTCTAGTTGGCACCCAAAGCTAAGGAGAAACTCTTCTTTGCAACCAGCTGTTGCACCGGTTTGCTTCTTAAAAGTGCAGGCACCATTCCCAATTATGCCCAGGATGATCTGATGGACTTGGTGTCACTCAGGAAATTCGATGTGTTTTCTTGAAGTTGGCCAAATCTTTCTTTAACAGCATCACTAGCACATTAGTAATAGGTTTTGTCAAGTAAGATTAACCAGTTACCTGCCTCTTCACTGATGTCTTTTGGGACTGCCAGACCAACCTTCTTTTCATTTAGTTAAGGCAAAAGGCAGAGAAACATACATGTGTACTTAGAAAAACAAATATTATATAAACAGGGTACCCTTCAAAGGTGTAACAGAGCAAAATATAAGAGGCACTAAAACAAATACTTGTACACAAATGTTGACAGCAGCCATACGCACAACAGCCAGAAGACAGACAAAAATCAACTGTCTATCATCGGATGAATGTACAAAATGTGCTGTATACAAACAATGGAATGTTATTGAACCACAGAAAGGAATGAAGTAACAATACATTTTACAACATAGATGAACTTCAAAAACATTATGCCGAGTGAAAGAGGCCAGACACAAAAGACCACATACTGTATGACTACATTTACAGGAAATATTTAGGTAAATCCATAGAAACAGAAAGCAAATTGGTGGTTGCCAGAGGCTGGGGGTGTGAAGATGACAAGCTAGTGCTTAATGGATACAGAGACTTCTTGGTGGGTGATGAAAATGTTTTGGAAACAGGAGGGGTAGTTGTACAACATCATGAATGTACTAAATGCCACTTTACAACTGTACTTTACAATGGTTGGTTGTTCTGTGATTACCCCTTAGTTGTTAAAAAAGGAAAAAGAAAGGGAAAACAAAAGCGCACAAAAGTTCATGTTTCTTTGAGTCTCACTGCAATGAGGGAAAAAATGAGGGAACAGAAACGGCTGAACAACTGATGATGACGCATCAACAAAGAGAAAAAGACAAAGACGGGGGTTCTACTTAAGAAACAAGGCTACAAATATTTGAAAAGCAAACCAATAAAATGGATTTTCAAATGTTTCACTATTAACTTCTTGCAAACAAACTACAAAAAATGTAAATGATCTTATAAAGAGAGAGCACACAAAACATCCAGGAAGAGCCTTTTCAAAGCCAGTGAGAGAGCCTCGCTCTGTGGAGCACTAGGTGCAGACAGGGCCTTTGAAAGGGCAGGGGACTGTCACACAAGCAAATCTGCCACTAATTCTATTCCATAGCTTTGGAAGTCTCCCATGTACTCAACTGCAGTGTAACAAGCATCACTGTACTGTACTTTCATTTTATTTTTCAAAATGAATGTGTAATAATTCCATTCCATATATTGTGCATAAACCTATTAATCTAAATACAATTACGCTCTTCTGAAAGAGGTTTCTCAGAGTTCATGGGTCACTTTCATATATATTATGTACAGTGAGACCATTTTTAAAAAGCAATGACCTTCATGTGACATGAGACAGCAGGGATAGATCGTGAGGACATTATGCCAAGTGAGATAAGCCACTCACCAAGGGACAAATGCCATATGATTCCACTTCCATGAAGTGGCCAGGGTGGTGAACTCATAGAGAAAGAAAGCAGAACAGTGGCTGCCAGGGACTGGGCAAGGGAGAATGGGGAACTGGTATTCAATGGGCATGAGTTTCAGTGTTGTAAGATGGTCTGGAAACCTGCGGCACAACTGTGGGGGTGGACTTAATACTATTGAACCGCGCACTTAAAATAATTAAGGTGGTCCATTTTAGATTATATGTTTTTACCACCATTTTAAAAAACTTAATCCTGCTCTTCTTGTTAAAATATTAACTTAAAATTAAAATCTTGTTAAAATATTAACATTGTTGGTATTGCCATCTTATGGCTTTAGAGAAATTATACACTTCACAAGTTTAAACTCAAACTGGTTGGGATTTGGACACTTTAAAATACTATATTAAAACTAATTATATCAACAGCAACGACAACAAAAGGAGTAACTTAAGCAAAACAATGCTCCTTTAGGAGATCACTTCCCTGTTTCTAAATAAAAATTAGTGGATTGTGCTTCTGTGTAAAATGTGTATTTTAAAATGTAAAATACCAAAACATGAGGAAAAAAAACACCAAACTCAAGTAAAAACTGGGAATTCATTTGGGTCAGTGCTCCTGTGCTTTTAAAAGAGAGACAAACAACCAGAAGCCTCAGGGCGCTGGTGGGGTTGGCTTGCCTCCCTTCGTCTGCACTACCGACTGGCTCGCTGCTTGCCCACCTGGATGTGGCTGCACTATCTGAACAGCGCCTGTTGCCAAAAACACTGGCTGCTGCAGGACTCTCAACTGCTGCGTCTGGAGCTGGATATGCTGCGGCTGTGGCTGCTGTGACTGTGGCTGCTCCTGCTGTGGCTGTGGCTGCTGCTGCAGTTGCAGCTTCGGCGGCTGTGGCAGCTGCGGCTGTGACCGCGGTTGCAGCTTCAGCCGCAGCTGTGGCTGCTGCTGCTGCCTCAAGACAGAGGGGAGCTGGATACCCTGCTGAGGAACCTGGGCAGAGCCAAGTAGACCCAACCCAGTGTGGGGCTGCAGACCACTACCTGCTCCAGTGGGGTTCACCTTAAGAAGCTGCTGAGCAGGGAAGGCCTGCCCTTGAGTGCTCATACCTTGTGCGGAACCCTGTGGCCCTGGCTGAGGACGGTGAGCAGCTGTGGGCTGCTGGAGCTGCTGCAGGGAAACCAGCTGATGGAACTGCTGCTGCGTGCTGCTCAAAACCACGGAGCCCTGTGGAACCTGGAGGACAGTCATGGGCCTGAGACCTTCAGGAGTATTTAGGAAAAACTGAAGGGGTGCTTGAGAAGATGCCTGTGCTGCACTGGCCTTTGCATCTGGTAGTGGACCTCCTGAGGACTGAAGGCCACTGCCACTGATTCCTGCAGGAGCCGGGCCACCCGAGCCAGGGGACTGCACAGGCTTGAAACTGCTACCCAAAGCCTGGGCTGCCCGGACTGGGCCCTCCATGTTGATGGCCTTTAGGCCAGTGGAGCCTGTCCTGACCTGAATGGCTGGGGCTATTTTTATGAATCTGGTGGGGGGCTGGGCAGCTGGATAGGGCCTGCTAACTTGAATGAAATGCACAGAGGGCTTCTGAGAATGACTTGGTGCTGCAGAAGCAGCAGCTACAGCAGGAGCAGGAGCAGGAGCAGGAGCAGTGGCAGGAGCAGGAGCAGGAGCAGTGGCAGGAGCAGGAGCAGGAGCAGGAACAGGAGCAGGAGCAGGAGCAGGAGCAGGAGCAGCAGCAGCAGCAGCAGCAGCAGCGGGAGAAGCGGCAGGAGCAGCAGCAGCAACTGCAGCAGCAGGAGATGCGGCAGAAGCCGCAGGAGCGGCAGCAGCAGCAGGAAAAGGACGCTTAAGAGAGCTGCCTGCCTGTTGTGGGGGAAAACTGGTACCTGAGGAATTCTTTCCTGAGCTTGAGGGAAGTTGGTTTCGGGGAGGTGGATATTTCTCTCCTTTCCCCAATACTGAAGACTGGACCCACACAGGCTTAGGCTGTTCTGGTGTTTTCCATGAAGAAAGCTGACTGACACTGGCTGGGCCACTGGAGCTGTGTGGCATCTTGCCTGGACCTTTGACTCTGCTCTGCACTGATTCCTGGGCCTGACTCACTGCCCTCCCAGCATCAGTCTCTGACCCAGGCCTGAGACCAGCTGCATGGTCATCTGGGAAGGGCTGCCAGGGAGACTTCTGGCTCTTCTGCCTGGCTTTTTTACGGGGCCGTATTTTACCACAGAGAAGTGGATCATTAAACGACTGCATGATGCTTGGCTTGGTGTCCCAGGCCTGAGAGCCAGCTTCCCATCCAAATCTGAAAGGGTCTTCTACCTCCTGGGCTGGCCAGACTGGGAGCTGTGGCTCAGCAGCTGTGACGGGCTGACACTCTTTAGCAAGTTTCTCCACATCCACTTCCGAAGGCACGGCCAAATCCCAGGATCTGCGTTTCCACATGTCTACACAACGTCCTGCTTTAGCAATGTCCAGCTCATAAGGCTGACCTGCTTTTCTTTCTTCTTTTTGGCCAGAAGTCGACACTCTCATCTCAGGAGGAGGTGGATAGTCAGACCGCTCCTGCTGTGACCTTACAGAGGGCCACGAATACCTCTGGAGGCACCGTTTCATCGGGTCGGTATTCATCTTTTGCTTGTTGTACAGCAGCCTGTTTGCAGTGCAGGCGACTGCTACAGAAGGATCGAGACACAGTGGTTCAGCTGTCGCTAAGATCAGTTGGCTCTCAAGCTGCAGCTTGTCTTCCTGGCTCCATTTCTGGACATCTCTTGTCATCATCTTCACATCATGGGCTAAAGTCTGCATTGTTGGACGTAGGAGAATATGCCTGCTTTGGTAACCAGGAGGTTGCATATTACTGGACTGCCTGTAGTCACGAACTTCTACTATGACACATCCACTATGAAAAATGTTAACCGAAGCTTTATCAAGGACATCAGCCAAAGCAGGGGGTAATTCTTCTGCATCCAAGTAGTCGAGCAATGCCCTCTCATCATAAGGGAGTCGAATGGTCTCTGCAAAGGACCCATCTTTTCTCTGGAGCATCACAGAATACCCCTGATTGCCTGGGTATAGATTGACCAGTAAACATGGCAAGGACTCTCTCCTAACAAGCTTTTCTAACAAGTTTACATTGCTTCTCAATTCCTGAGGATCCTCAGGCTCTTTTCCACATTCTTCTATATAAATGTCATAAAGTTTTTCCTGCAGAGTTTTTCCCGCCCTAGGTGAGTATCTCCTTCTAGGAGGTCTCTGTTGGGCAATTTCAATGATATTCTCTGCGCGATCCAGAGCCTGTTCTAAATCTCTATCCATTGTAACAGAAAACAGGGCCCCTAAGAGGAGAGAAAATGCATGTGCGTGGTGAATCAGGATGGAATTACGGCTGTCATATTAATGTACAGAACCGCAAGATGCCGCAAGTCCACACTGAGTTCTACATGGGCATCTGCCCAGAAACCCGCCCCCAGGGAAGCGCTACCCAATCTGTTTGACGGTTTCTGAAAACATCGGTACCTGAGGGGTAGTAGACCTGGCACTGGCTTCGCGTCTCGGCGTGCTGGACCGGAAGTGAGCGGGAGGGCCGGGGTCAGCTCCTGGGCACTGTCCGGGCACCTGCCCAGAAAACCGCCCCCAGGGAAGCGCTACCCAATCTGTTTGAGGGTTTCTTAAAACATCGGTACTTGAGGGGTCGTCGTCGTGGCCCGGGGCTTTGCGTCTCTGCATGCTGCACCGGAAGGGAACTGCAGGGCCGGGGTCAGCTCCTGGGCCCCGTCTTTGCGCATGCGCACTCGCTGCACCGCAGGTTCCGGGGCTCCTGCTTCTCTGGCCTCCTGGGCGCGAGGCTCACCCGCTGCACTTCCGGGTCTGCTACCAGCACTTGCACTCGACCACTTGCCATTTCACCTTGAAAGCGTACATGCAAAAGTACAGGCTACCGACGACGGTATGGATGCATCTTTCGTACGGTGCATAGAGATCACTTTCCACAGGAATGACACTGTCGGGAAATCATGGGAAGTTGTCACTGGTCTTGGTGGAAACTTCAACAATTGTTGGCATTTTTGGAATCTCTTGCCATCAATGGCAGCGCTGCTGCCGGTATCCGTCAGCCACTGGGCTGCGGAATGAGCCCGAAGTGGCAATGCTTCCATGCCCGGAGAGCCCACAGGTTGTGGCAAGCGTCAGGATTCTTCGTGTCGTCGTCCAGTGAGCTCCCGCCTGGGGGTGTTCATGTAGATGCACCAGTACATGACGTTCATTTACATAATTACTCACCTTTTATTTCTCCATGTGTTGAGTTAGGGCACTTACAGATTAAAAAATTACGTGGTGGGTCATTACATTGTCTATGGATTGCAGTTCAGGATGGTAGAGAGACATGAAACCATTCATTTCTACAAGGTGATTTGCACCTGATAAGGATGAGAACAATTGTTCCAGGTGATGGCAATACATTTTCAATGATGAGACTAAACTGTAGACCTTAGCTGAGATCCTAATGATAGATTTGCAGTGTTATCGTTCAATCTTAGGTAACCTATGGGACATTGTTTTCCATTAACTTTGTTGCCTTGAAATCTCCCAGTTTGTTTGTTTGTGTTTGTTTTATTGGACAAGATCAATAATGCTTTTCTGGGGAGAACTACTCCATAGCCTGTTTTTGTGATCCATGAGTGTGATCTAAATTCTGCCCCTCCCCCAGCTGATATCCCAGGGTGCATCTCACTTATTAGAGAGGTACGTCTGCCCGCCCTGCCATGGGATGGACTCGATCTTCAGCTGGTGAATTGCCCGTGTCTTCACTTGGGTTTCCCCAAAAGCATTCCCAGAGGAGAGGATTTGAGTGGGAGTAGTTTCTTTGGGTGCTAATCCTTAGAAGCATTGGTGACAGAAAGGGGAGCTGAGTCAGGGATGGGGAAACAATGGAAGACGTATTCCTGAGCACAAGCAGCTCCGGAAAACTGGTCCATGCTGAGGACCTTGGAAGACAGTACAGAAGAAGCCTCAGATTGTTCTGCCCTAGAGGCAAGGAAGCTGGGGTATTTATTCATCCACTTCTTTCTCATTGACTTAGGACAGTGCTGGGAATGTTATTTCCTGATACTTCTGGTTGCCACATACAGGGGCCACCCATGCTGATGTGGCTTGAGGATGCTCTCAGACAGAGTTACAGGTGATTGCAGTAAGACTTTGTGTGTACAGAATGATGAGTGCCTAGGGGAGATGGACATGGTACTGGCAGCATTTGCTGCATTTAGGACTGAAGATAAGTGAGACAAGTCAGCCATTCATTCTTAATGATGTAGATAATGTGCTATGTAATATATCTGGGCATATGGAGAAGTGAAATTGTATTCCATCCTAGTGAAATGGGCAATTTCATGTAAGGTTTTTTCAGGTATTAACACTAACAAGACTAAAAATGGAAGATGTGACTCACTCTTGACTTCCCAGAGAGAAGATGCCAAGGCTGCCTAGGCCACAGGTGCACTGGAAGAGGCTGTGAACCTGTGTGTGTGTGTGAGTGTGTGTGTGTGTGGGCCTGACACTGCCTATCATGGGTTGGCTATCCCCTTTACTTGAGCTGCCTAATTGCCTTGTTTTTACACAATATGATGTTTTTAGAAAAAAATTACTCTGTGTACACACCATCCTTTGAGCCTTCCAAGCACGTTAATGAGCACTCTGGTTCATTAAAAGATCTCCAACTACAGCCCTCCCCTATAGCAGCTCAGCAGAGATTCACATGCTAAGAAATGTCCTGGCTAGACTCACCTTTGCTAGAGAAATAAGAGAATTCAATTAATTGCAAGATAATTTACATAATTTTCAATTCGTAAATTTCTTTCTTTCTTTCTTTTTTTTTTTTTTTTTTGAGACAGGATTTTGCTCTGTCACCCAGGCTGGAGTGCAGTGGCGCAATCACGGCTCACTGCAGCCTTGACCTTCTGGCCTCCACTTCCTGGGCTCAACCAGTCTGCTTGCCTCAGCCTCCTGAGTAAATGGGACAACAGGCATGCACCACCATGCCTGGCTAATTTTTGTATTTTTTTTTAGAGATGGGATTTTGCCAGGTTGCCCAGGCTGGTCTCCAACTCCTGGGCTCAAGCAATCCTCCTGCCTCAGCCTCCCAAAGTGCTGGGTTTACAGGTGTGAGCCACCGCACTTGGCCTAATTTCTTTTTCTATACCCATTCTGGGTCAAGCATGAAATTTTAAAAAATTAAATATAATAGACACAGAGTAAAATTCATCCTTTTCAGTTCTGTGAGTGTTGAAAAATATGTATAGCCATGCAACCACCACTGTAATCAAGTGATAGACTGTTCCATCTTGCAAAACAAAATTCCGTCGTGCATCTTTGGAGTCAACTTCTTCCCGCCACCCAGAATCCCTGGCAACTGGTTATCTTTCTTCTGTGCATATAGATTTGCCTTACCAGAAGGGCATGTAAATGGAAGTCATATAAATGGAATCATAAAGCATATAGCCTTTGTGACTGGCTTCCTTCGCATACCTATGTTTAAGATTCATCCACGGCCAGATACAGTGGCTCACATCTATATTCCCAGCATCTTGGGAGGCTGAGGCATTACATTTAGGCTTATGGTCCATTTCGAGTTCATTTTTGTATAAGGTGTGAAGTATAAGTCATGGTTTATTTTTTGCATATGGATATCCAAACATTCCAGCATCCTTTGTTGAAAAGACTATTCTTTGTCCACTGAATTGCCTTTATACCTTTGTAAAAAAAAAAAAAAAAAAAAAAAAAAAAGATTGACCATATATATGAAGTTCTATTCTATTCCACTGATCTATTTGTCTGTCTTTGTACCGATATCATTGTGTCTTTATTACTGTAGCTTTACAATAATTTTTTAAATCAAGTAGTGATACTTTCCAACTTTGTTCTTCTTTTGCAAAGTAGTTTTGGCTCTCCTAGTCATTTTGCTTTTCCATAAACTGTACATTTTAGAACCATCTTGTCAATTTCTGTAGCTTACAAGGCCCAAATCCTTGTTCCATTAATTATTTGTGTGCCCTTGAGCAAGTTATTTAACTCTTCTGTGTTCCTGTTTCTTCACTTACAAATTGAAATGATGATAATGATGATGATGACTACTCATTTAGTTGTTTTAAAGTTAAGTGACATAGTCCAAATAAATTGTGTCCATAGAACAATGCCTGGCACATTGCAAGAACTCATTAAAGGTTAGCTATTTTCCCCCTCACCACCATCCTTCTAATTGCTTCAGAAACCTTTTATTTCCTGGGGACAGTGGGGAACTAATTAACAGTTTGGAGAGGAAGAGTAACCTTTTTTAGCATGTTAACTGTAGTCATGGTGACAACAGTGGACTGGAGTGGAGTGAGATTGGTGGCAGGAAACAGATTAGGAAGTGATTGCAATACCCCAGTGGCAACTAATGAAGTCAGTGTTTGTGAAGATGTAAAGGAAATACTTAAGTCATATCTCAGATATTTTGAACAGGGCTTGCTAACTGATTGTAGGAGTTGAAAACAAGACAAGACTTGGTTTTTTTCCTATTTCTAATTCTTCCCAAGGTGAAGCACTTCCTCAGGTGAAGCTTACAGTCCATTAGAACCTCACTCCGCAGACCCTCAAAACATTAGAAAGAGGAAAATCACAAGGAAATGAACAGGTCCAAAATGTATTCACATCCACGAGACATCGTGAAAACAACATTCAGGATCAAGATGCAGAGACAAAGCAAGATTAACATTGTTATGAACTCAATGTTTACATCCCTCCCAGATTCATATGTTGAAATCCTAACCTCCAATGTGATGGTATTAGGAGGTGGTGTCTTTGGGAGGTGGATTAGGACATGAAGGCAGAGCCCTTTTAAATGGGATCAGTGCCCTGATTAAAAAAAAAAAAAAAAGGCCCTAGAGAGCTGCCTTGCCCCTTCTACCATGTGAAGACACTGCAAGAAGGCACCATATATAAAGGATGAAGTGGGCCCTCACCAGACGCTGAATCTATTTGCACCTGGATCTTAGACTTTTCAGCCACCAGAACAGAGAGAAATAAATCTGTTGTCTATAAGCCACTCAGTCTATGGTAGTTTGTTTTAGTAGGCTGAATGGACTAAGACAAGCATCATCATTCAAAGACTCACTTACATTCATTGTACCCTACCTGCAGAGGTAGAAAGTAGGCCCATGCTACCACTTAGAAAGGCTTCCAAAGACAAGGGCTAACACCCAAAAATCTTTTTCACTATCCACAATACTCTAGTGCCTAAATCAGCCCATAGATTGCATGGTTTTACAAGAATTACCAAATGTGGCTTGGAGAATTAAAATTATAATTGGTGTTCAAGCCGGGCGTGGTGGCTCACACCTGTAATCCCAGCACTTTGGGA